CACGTGGGTGTGGTGCTGATGCTGCTGTGCACGTCCACAGATTGACTACCCTGAGATTGCCGAGGGCATCATGCCACGCCACCGCTTCATGTCTGCCTATGAGCAGAGGATTGAGCCCCCAGACCGCCGCTGGCAGTACCTGCTCATGGCTGCTGAGCCCTACGAGACCATTGCCTTCAAGGTAGTGACACCGAGGACAGGAGAGGGGGCAGCCAGGATTAGCCTGTCTGTCTGTCGGTCCCGGTCTCCACCCTGGGTGCTGCAGCTTGTGCTTTCCTCTCCCAGGTGCCAAGCCGTGAGATCGACAAGGCAGAGGGAAAGTTCTGGACCCACTGGAACCGAGAGACCAAGCAGGTGAGGTTCTGCAGCCCTTGCATGGTACTCCTTCTCCCTCTCACCCTCCTCCCATGCAGTCAGTCACCCTCCCCTGCAGTCACTGACCCTCCTCCCCTACAGTTTTTTCTTCAGTTCCACTTTAAGATGGAGAAGCCTCCTGCCCCACCCAGCCTCCCTGCTGGACCCCCAGGTGTCAAGCGGCCCCCTCCCCCACTCATGAATGGCCTGCCTCCTCGCCCACCACTGCCAGATGCCTTGCCCCCACCTCCGCCTGGTGGCCTGCCTCTGCCCCCTATGCCTCCCACCGGGCCTGCTCCCTCTGGGCCCCCTGGACCTCCCCAGATGCCTCCACCAGCTCCTGGGGTACATCCCCCAGCCCCAGTGGTCCACCCACCAACATCTGGAGTCCATCCCCCAGCTCCTGGGGTCCATCCCCCAGCCCCAGTGGTCCACCCACCAACATCTGGGGTCCATCCCCCAGCTCCAGGTGTGCTCCCAGCAGCCCCTGGAGTGCACCCAGCAGCCCCTGGAGTGCACCCACCAGCTCCCGGGGTCCACCCAGCAGCCCCTGGAGTGCACCCACCAGCTCCTGGGGTCCACCCGCCAGCTCCTGGGGTCCACCCTCCCCCATCAGCTGGAGTTCATCCTCAGGCTCCAGGAGTACACCCACCTGCTCCTGCAGTTCATCCTCAGGCCCCTGGGGTGCACCCCCCAGCTCCTGGCATCCACCCTCAGGCACCTGGGGTACACCCCCAGCCTCCTCCTGGAGTCCACCCTGCTGCGCCTGTAGTCCACCCTCAGCCTCCAGGGGTTCATCCCTCAAATCCTGGGGTGCACCCAGCTCCTATGCCCCCCATGCTAAGGCCCCCACTCCCCTCAGACGGCCCTGGGAACATGCCTCCCCCTCCCCCAGGCAACTGAGTCATGGCCCCAGCACCCCCTGCTGCCTGTGCGCAGCCTTTTCCCGGGGCCAATCCTTGGAAAGTTTTCTATTTTGTCCTGTTCTGAGTTCATTAAACAGCCTCCCCCATGTCTCCCTGTCTGCAGTGTGGTTCTTATGTTGTTTTTTTGGGGGGTGGGGGGGATGGGCAGGTACTGCATGCCTTATTGAAGGCATGGTGACCCGGGGTTCTGTGAGTCCTCCAGGTGGGCTCCCTAGGCAGATGGGAGCTACTCAAGGACAGCTGTGGTTTTTGCAATTGTGGGCCTGTCTCTGAGGACAGAAAACCCTTTGAGAAGGCCACCTCCCACCTGCTGGACATACTGGGCGCCAGGCACTGTCCCCCCAAGGTCACTTTCAGAGTTGATAGGGGTGCCCCTCCCAAGCGCTCTTGCCCTACCATACATATAAGCAGGGCCTTCCAGACTTTGTTGCACCGCCATGCAGGGACGACCCCTCTCTCCGCTGGCGCTACTGCTGGTGACCATGGGGGCTGTGTTACAGGCGGAGACTCTCAAAGAAGAGTTCCAAAAAGCCTCCAGCACCAGGGGCCTCATCTTCCTTGAGGATGGGGTCTGGCCTCCCAGCGATCCCCCAGAGCCCTTGTGCCTGGTGACGCTGAGAGCGGAGGGGAACAGAAGCAGAATCCCGCTAAGGGTAGTAGGGGGCCTGGACAGCTATGAGCATGCCTTCCTGGAGGCTGTACAGGAGTCTCACTGGGGACCCCAAGACCTGGCCACCTTTGGAGTCTGCACTCCTGATGCCCAGGCTGCCCTGCCAGTCCTGCAGCACCTTGGGGCCTGGCTGGGGGAGCCTGGGGGGCAGCAGTTGCTGGTCCTGCACCTGACTGAAGGTATGTGATAGGCGCTGTTCAGAACCCCTGTGCCTTGTGCAACCTGAGGCTCATCCCGAGGACCCAGGGGAGGCTGTGGGGAGGTCCTATTGCTTGACTGCCAGGCACAGCCTTGATAGCGGAGCACAACACCCCAACTCCGTCCCAGGCAAAGGGTCACGGAGTCCCTTCAAGCAAGGTCCTCACTTCACAGCTGGGGTCAGGGTCCTTCAGGCCTGCATGGCCACAGGAGATCTCCAGTTAGATTCCAGCTGAGGGACTCTGTAGGACAGGTCTTGAGGGAGGGAAACTAGTGGCTTCAGACTCAGTTGTCAACCAGTATTCGGCCCACAGTGATATGGGAGCCCACGCTCTTGCTGAAGTTCCAAGAACCTCCACGTGGGGGAGCCATCCGCTGGGAGCAGGCCCTGCTGGTGCTATACCCTGGGCCCGGCCCCCAGGTCACCGTCACAGGGACTGGACTGCAGTGCACACAGGTACGTGAGAGTGGCATGGGGCCATCCCGCGACAGCCGTCTGGTTGGGGTGTATAAAGATCTGCCTAATAGAAGGGTTCCTGGGGTCACTAGTACACAAGGTATCTACTCCCGGTATGGGATGGGTGTGCCTGGTAGCCTGGCCATCCTCAGTCCAGCAGAGTCCCGATGTCTACAGAACCTCTGCCCTACACGGGACACCCGCTATTTGGTGCTGGTTGTGGATTTCCCAGCGGGGGCCTGGAGTGGCCCTGGCCTTGCCCTAACTCTTCAGCCACGCAGAGAAGGTAGGTCCAGGTCCTGGCAGAGGGGAGGGGACGGTGTGAAAAGAGGCTGCCCTTTGCCCTTCCCCTCAGCTAGCCACGTGCTCACCTCCTCCCCCCCTCCCCCCCCCGCAGGTGCCACCCTGAGCATCGCCGAGCTGCAGGCTTTTCTGTTTGGCTCTGACTCTCGCTGTTTCACACGCATGACCCCTACCCTGCTGTTGCTGCCGCCTACCCAGTCATCCATGCAGCCAGCGCATGGCCAGCTGGACACCATGCCCTTCCCACCGCCCAGGTGTGCGCACGCCAGGGCTGGAGTTGGAACTGGGAAGATGTGGGGAGGAGGAAATGCACCCACCACAGCCTCTTGTGCTCAAGGTTGGCTCACTGCCCTCTATTCCAGGCTGCCCCTGGAGCCGGAGGATCTGCCACACAGCGCCGACCCCTTCCTAGAGGCTCTCACCCGCTTGGTGCGTGCCTTGCGGGGACCCCCAACCCGAGCCTCTCACACGCGTCTGTCCCTGGACCCTGGGGCGCTGGCCAACTTCCCACAGGGCCTGGTTAACCTGTCGGACCCCGCGGCCCTGGAATGCCTGCTCGATGGGGAGGAACCCCTGCTACAGCTGCTGTCTCCCACTGCAGCCACCGTGGGGGACCCTACGTCGCTGCAGGGCCCCGCCTCTGCTCCCTGGACAGCCGACCTGGCACGCAGGGTGGCCGTGGAGCTACAGGCGGCGGCCTCAGAGCTGAGTGGCCTTCCCGGTCTGCCACCCGCTGCGCCCCCTCTTCTGTCGCGCCTGCTGGCGCTGTGCCCCAACAACTCCAACAGCCCTGGGGACCCGCTGCGAGCGCTGCTTCTACTAAAGGCACTGCAGGGCCTGAGTGCTGAGTGGCGTGGGAGGGAAGGGCGCGGGAGGGCGGGACGCAGCGTGGAGACCGCTGCAGAAGGGCCGTGCGGGCTGCGCGAGCTGAACGTGGACCTGCGGGCAGAGCGCTCAGTGCTCATCCCTGAGACCTACCAGGCCAACAACTGCCAAGGCGCCTGCGTGTGGCCACAGTCCGACCGCAACCCGCACTACGGGAACCACGTGGTGCTCCTGCTGAAGATGCAGGCTCGAGGGGCTGCCCTGGGGCGCCTACCCTGCTGCGTGCCCACTGCATACGCGGGCAAGCTGCTCATCAGCCTGTCCGAGGAACGCATCAGTGCGCACCACGTGCCTAACATGGTGGCCACCGAGTGCGGCTGCCGCTGACGCCTGCTTTGTCTCCAGACAGTATACCAATAAAGATCAGCAAACACTCAGTGGGGGTGTCTGTGGGTGGAGGGACCGCCTCTCACCTCCCTTCTCAAGACATACACACACCATCCAGTCCGTGAGGATGCGCTCCATCTCCATCATTTTTTATTCTTTTGTTTTGTTTTTCCGAGACAGGGTTTCTCTGTGGTTTTGGAGCCTGTCCTGGAACTAGCTCTGTAGACCAGGCTGATCTCGAACTCACAGAGATCCGCCTGCCTCTGCCTCCCGAGTGCTGGGATTAAAGGCGTGCGCCACCACCGCCCGGCGCCCTCCATCACTTTTTAAAGACAGGGTCTCTCTATGTTATACAGGCCATCCTGGAACTTACTATGTAGACCAGGCTGGCCTTGAACTCACAGAGAGCTGACCGACCCTACCTCCCCAGTGCTGGCATTAAATTCCCAGACCATGTCACTTTTTAAATTAGTTAACTAATTTGTATGTGTGGAGGGGAGGGTTGAGGCAGGAGAATTGCTTTGAGTCATCCTGAACTACAGAGTAAAACCCTGTTACAAAGTCCAAAAAAGGGGAGCGAGACAAACAGCTCAGCTGTAAAGGGCGCTTGCACATCCCAACCCCCTCACCCCAGGCTCATACCTGAAAAAGAAAATGTGGCTGCGCAGGTGTGTCTGGAGGTGGAGACAGGAGGGTCAGAACTGCAAGCCAGGCTGCACGGCTTATGCAGTCGTCACACAGCACGCTTATGGAGGTCAGGATAAAGAAGGGGAGTGTGTCCCAGGATAAAGGCTCAGCGGCAAGCACCTTTACCCACTTTGCCATCTCGCCGACCCTTGGGGTCCAGGCACAAAGGAGCAGAAAACGTGGCTGTCGCAGCACGAGCTTTATTTACTGGTCCTGCAGGGAGAAGGGACACGGGGTTCACCAAGGAGGACAGGGGCAGGATCAATCGCGCCTCTTTCCCCCAGGAGGCTTCTGTCTGGGTCGGTCGTCACGGTCGTGGCGTCGCCGGGGAGCCCAGGCCTGCCGCTTCTCATGCTCGAGTTCCCTGGAGGACCGCGTCCATGGCCGATGGCCTCCTTCGTGCGCCTCCCAGCGCCGGGACAGGGATTGGCGGGGCTCCCTGGTGACCCACTGCCTCTCCTCCTTCCTGGGCTTCTCCCTCCTCAGCTTCTCCTTCTTCAGCTTCTCTCCTTTCTTTGACTTCTCCCTTAGCCTCTCCTGGGACCCTCGGCCACCAAGGGGTGCGCACTCCTCTCCAGAGGCCTCTGTGGTGGACCCGCCAGGCTCCCCCTGGGTTTCTGCTTCTGCAGCCTCAGGCTTTTCCTGCTTCTGTACCTGGGGTCCGGGTGACTCAGGAGGCCCGGATGGGGGCACCAAGAGTGGGGGCTTAGGCTGCAGAAAGACAATGTGGGGTCTTGGGGTCCGCGCCCATCTCCCCACAGGCCCGACCTCCTTTTCCCTGGGAATCAGACCCATCAGGTGAAGGCCCAGGAAGAAAGCTTACCGCGGGCACCTCTGGTTTCTTGGGTGGAGGACTGGGCGGGACCCACTGCTGAGGGACTTCCACCGCCACCTCCCCAGCCACCACGTCTGAAAGTCAGTCAGTCTGGGTTGGAGGACAGAGCGCACCCTCCTCATCCTCCCACTCAGCCCCAGAACAACCCACTTCAGCAGTCTACCTCACGCTCCTGCTGCTGGGATACCCCCTCCTCCTAGAGACCCCCCCTTTTCTCTTGTCTTCTCTTCTCTCCTCTCTCCCCCTCTCTTTCCTCTCCTCTCCTCTTTCCTTTCTCTCTCTGTCCTCTCCTCTTCTCGTCTCGTCTCGTCTCTCCTCTCCTCTCCTCTCTCTCTTCTCGTCTCTCCCTCTCTTCTCTTCTCTCCTCCTTTCCCCTCCCCTCCCCTCCCCTCCCCTCCCCCCTCTCTCTGCATGGGGGCATCTAGCTTGGGGTGGACTATGTAGGTCCCTTCTCTACTGAAGGAGTGGGAACCAGGTTCAGTCTCACATGCCCGTCATCCTGGCTGGAGGATGCTGAGACAGGAGGATTGCCATGAGACCCAGGCTAATCTGTGTTATATAAAATGAGCCCTTAACTCAAAAGCAAACAAAAAAGCCTGGGTTCAGCTCTTGGGAGTTCAAAGCAGGGGGATCAGAGGCCAGCCTGGGCTATATAGAAAGCTTGAGGCCAGCCTGGACTATATGAAACTTTGTCTCAAAAAAAAAAAAAAAAGTCTGGGCCTGGTGACTCACACCTTTAATTCCAGAACGTGGGAGGGATGCAGAGGCAGGCGAATTTCTCGGAGTCTACAGAGGCCAGCCAGGGATACACAGTGAGACTCTGGCTCAAAATGAATAAATGAATGAATGAATGAATGCCAGTTGAGCCAAGAGCACCCCAAAGGCGGGCTTGGAAGCCTAGGTGTGACCATGCGGCTCACAGGCTATTCCTGGGGTAGGGAGAGACTGGAGCACAGTGTTTGTAGGAACAGTGGAGTCACTGCCTGCGCAGGGCTGCAGGGAATTGCAGGGAATGCACCCCACTCCTTTGGAGAGGACTCTCATTGTCCCTACCCCTGCGGCAGGCCAATCCCTCCTCCGCAACGCTCACCCTGACAGAGCTGGACAGCTGAGCCCATCAGTGCCACCAGTGAGGCCAGCACCAGGCACTTGTTGAGCGTCAGGTCTCCCCAAGGCAGGTCGTCCCTGGGCGGTGGTGGTGGCGGCGGGGGCTTCAGGGGAGGCGCAACCTGCAACTTTCTGCGTGCGGGAACGCTCCGGGGGCCTGCGGAGACAAGCGTTTGGTCTCCTGTGGCTCCTGCCTCCCATCCCCGCCCGCTCGCCCTCCCCGTGCAAACCCACTTGTCCCAGCTTTAGGAATCCCTTTGCTGGTTCCCAGACCCTCCTGGGCCACGAGCTCTTTCTCCGCAGTGCCGGCAGTCACTGGGTCCTGGAGGACCTGTAGGGCGTCAGAGACGCGGGATATCAGTTCACATTTTCCGGGGAGGAGGCGGGTTGTAGTGACTCATTCTGTAATCTCAACACCCAGGAGGTCGAGACATAAGGAGGGTCTGCAGTTGGATGCCGACCTGGGTTGCGTAGTAAGACTGTCTAAAACTCAAAAGTAGGGCCCAGGCAAGCAGCTCACTGGGTGCTGGTCCTGCCTCCAAACCTGACAGCCTGCGTTTGATCCTGGGACCCCCCCCCCCCCAAGTAAAGGTAAAGGTGAAAACAGATTCAGGGAAGATGGCCTCTGATCCCTTGCTGTACATGTTCACATACACATATAAATAATTATATATGTGTGTGTGTATGCATATATAGACATGCAGATAAGTACAGATATATACATGTGTATATATACAAATATATAAAAACACAATACATGTATATAAATACATATATACAAATACACACACACACACACATATATATATACAAATACATTAGAAGTTGGAGAGATGGCTCAGTGGCTACAGTACAGGCAGTTCTCACAGAGAACCCAGCACCCACAGGGCAGCCCACAATCATCTGTAACTCCAGTTCCAGGGGATCCAATGCCCCCTTCTGGTTTCTGAGTTCATCAGATACCCATGTATGCAGGCAAAACGCATAAAAAAAAATAAAAATTAAATACAAAAGGAAAAAAAAAGAAGGAAGGGAGGGAGGGAGAAAAGAAGGAAGGGAGGGAGGGAGGGAGAAAAGAAGGGAGAGAGGAAGGGAGAGAGGAAGGGAGGGAGGGAGGGATACCACCATTCCTTTAGCTGGCTGTCCCGATCGCGGGGCCAGCTACTCACGGGTGTCCAGCGACTAGAGTCCGCCAGCCTGGATGCCCCTGTTGTTGAAACAGATGAAGAATCGAAACAGCAGGGTATTTACCACCCTGACCAACTCCATCCCACCCCACACCCCCACACCCCCACACCGAAAGGCAATTTGCAGCTTCCTATGCAAATGACAAGGGACGTGGGGCTCAGAGATATGCAGCAGTGTTTCCAACCCAGAACCCAGGAACCAACCCCCTTAGCCGCTTGCCTCAGCCCAGGCTGGGAGATTAAGTGTTGGTCTCCAAAGCGGAGCCACCAGGCTCTCGCATCAGTTGCAGTACCTTGTGCCTTGCCGTCTGGCCGTCGGCCTGAGCTTGGCTCCTCCAGTAACGAGAAATCATCGCTGGGGAGGCAGCTGCCCAGGCCCCCATCCAGATCCTCCAAGCCTCTGGCTGTCATGAAGACTGCAGGATGGGCAGGGAGTCAGGGCATGGTCTTACCTAATCTTCGCCTCTACAGGAGGAATTCATGCTCCTTTCATTTTGTTTTTTGTTTTTGTTTTTGTTTTTGTTTTTTTGAAACAGGGTTTCTCTGTGTAGCCCTGGCTGTCCTGGAACTCGTTCTGTAGACCAGGCTGATCTCAAACTCACAGAGATCCACCTGCCTCTGCCTCCCGAGTGCTAGGATTAAAGGTGTGAGCCACATGCTGGGCAGAAATTCATACTCTTGCATGACTTCAGCATTTCCTTGGGACCCCTTCCCACTATGGGAAGACACCCAGAATCTATCAGTACAGCAAGGAACAAAATCAAGGCCCCGAGAGGCCCAGAGCTCACCCAGGGCTACACAGGAATGAACCCAAGGCCCATGCTGGAGCCCTGCTCTGCAGAGCCAGCTCAAATTCTCTGAGGCCATAGACTATTTTTATCGGTGTCTCACGGCAGCAGGAGAGGTCAGTCTGGCAGCCCAACCCCTCCCCAGACTCTTGCTCCCAGTCTAACAGAGTAGGCATCCTAGCGCTGAACCCCCTAGCTGACCCAGGATTCAGGGGGCTGAAGCCTCAACAGCCCGCCTGGTCTAGCCCTCAGTGTGACAGCGGAGGGGGGGGCAGACGGGATCGTGAGGGGTTTCCAGTCACGGCACCAGCCTTCTTGCCCCTGTTTTTATAGGGCACACAGAGAAACTGGGACCAGGGGCTCTACTGAGCTGGATGCCAGACACAGGTTTAGTTTATGGGGAGAAGGGGGGCAATCCATGGCCACTGGCTGCCCCCTGTATCTCCCGCCCCAACAGAAATACTTTAAAAACAGGGAGGGTATGGGCCAGCAAGAAGGCTCAACAGGTAAGAGAGCTTGCAGCCAAACCTGATGATCTGAATTCAATCCTCCAATCACCTCCCTTTGTGGGGGGCGTGGTTTGGAGAGAGGGTTTCCCCGTGTAGCGCTGGCTGTCCTGGAACTCACTCTCTAGACCAGGCTGGTCTCGAACTCACAGAGATCCGCCTGCTTCTGCCTCCTGAGTGCTGGGATTAAAGGCTAGCCGCGGCCGGGAGCTTCAGCTGGAAGGCAAGGCTGGAGTCCTCGGGTTGTCTTCTGCTGACCACGCGTACCCCTCAGCACATACCTTCACTTGTCCACTTACAAAAACTAAAAATTTTAAAATATCATTTAAAAATGAAATATAAGTAAAACCATAGAAGTTTCCCCTCTTGGGGGAAGGGACCAAAACACAGGTGAGGCAGGGAATTTGGCCCCTCCCTGTATGGGGGGGGTGGTCATCGGAATAGGGGACCCTAGTGGACCTCAGGGATCTCTTACCAAGCTCTAGGAACCACAGCTCTATCCAGGTTCCCCGCAGCCCCTCTTACCCTACAGTCTCCGAGCTGGGCCTGACAAACAAGAAAGCACACAGACCGGTGGTCAGTGATGGACAGCAACAGATGGCCAGAGACAGCTGCTGGGGACCAATTGGAGAGCGCCAGGGAGTCAGGAGGAGGGCTTTTCACGGGGTCACTGGGAGGGTGGCCTGCCACCCACAGCTGCCTCCTGCAATGAACCCAGGGACCTTGTTTGCTGCTCTAATGTCCTAGGTCGCAGCCCCAGTGGCCGCATCTGTGACTTTGAGGTTTCTGACGCGTGGCCGGCTTACCCCTGCCCTGAGTTCTAGGCTGACTCAACTATTTTCCAGTGGCTCCCGGTTTCTTTTTAAACTGTTCAATTTAATTTATTTATTTTTGTGGTAATGAGGATTGAATCCAGGACCTCAATCTCTCTGGGGAACTCTGGGCGGGGCTTCACCCTGATCACGCCCCCAGCCCCTCACTGGGGATTCTAGGTAGATATTGTGGGCACAGTGACAGAAAATGTCATCACTAATACAGCAAAGAATGAGGGACTGGAGTCAGGGCTACACCTCCTGAGCTGAAATCATCCTACAGTGCTTCTGTGAGGAATCCTAATTCTGGAACAACCCGGTCCAGAGCCTGGGTTTCCTCCTGTGCAAAGTGAGATTTCTTTCTAGGTGGTACTGAGATAGAAACGGGATCACTTCCTTAGAGACCGATTTCCTCCAGCGGAAATAGTGCCACCTGCTGGGGGACCTGTATTTCTGTATCGCAATGCCTCCCGGACTGAGGATCCGATTGGTGACACATTTTATCCATGACTTTATTATCTGCCTATGTAGTCACTTAGTCAACAAACACAGCGCAGCGCACCCCAGCAATATGGAAATTACTGTTACCGTTATCAATACTATAGATGTTACTTTTTTTTTTTTTTACAATTATTTATTTTGTGTAGGTGTGTGTGTAGGCAGGCACCCACACTACAGAGCTTGCAGGGTCTGTTCTCTGGTTCTGGCCTCCCACCACGTGGACTGAACTCAGGTCATCGGGCGTCACTGGGTAAAGACGCTCGATGACAGGTGCAGTCCATAATCCTGGATGACCTGGAACCAGGCTGAGTTTGAACCTGACACTTTTGCCTCTCCAGTTGCATAGCCACCAGCTTTTGTTTTGGGACAGGGTGTAAAGTGAAAGGCTGGAAAAGATTCCACTTCTGTGCTGGGCCTCTTTAGGGGAAGTATTAGCTAACAGAGAACAGAGAAACAAAGTAGCTGGCTGCAGCCCACTGCCCCACCCTACTTCCCCCATCAGCTGGGCTATGTCAAGCAGCCCCCGCGGTTAGCACAGGGTCCGCAGATGTGTGAGGACGTAATGGGTGCTGTGCGAGCCCCTTAGATACTAACAGCCTATCAGGAACCGACAGCTGAGCTTTCCCTCACCGTTAGCCAATTGTGATACAGGATAAGGAACTTTGTATTTTGAGACTGTAATCTTGTGACTGCTTTGTGGTTTTTGTCTTTATAAACCCCTCACAAGGGGCTGGGGAGGGGCTGGAGAGATGGCTCAGAGGTTAAGAGCACTGACTGCTCTTCCAAAGGTCCTGAGTTCAATTCCCAGCAACCACATGGTGGCTCACAACCATCTGTAATGAGGTCTGGTGCCCTCTTCTGGCCTGCAGAGATACACACAGACAGAATATTGTATACATAATAAATAAATATTTAATTTATTATTTAATTATTAATTTATTACAGATGGTTGTGAGGCACCATGTGGTTGCTGGGAATTGAACTCAGGACCTTTGGAAGAATAGGCAATGCTCTTAACCACTGAGCCATCTCTCCAGCCCCAAGAAATCCTGTCTTAAAAAACAAAGAAATAAACAAACAAAAAACCCAAAAACCTCAGGAGTGAAATATTTGAGTAAAACCCTGGGGTTTTTGTTTGTTTCTATTCTTGTTTTTTTTTTTTTTCTTTGTATTGTTTTGGTTTTCGAGACAGGTTTCTCTGTGGCTTTGGAGCCTGTCCTGGAACTATCTCCTGTAGACCAGGCTGACTTCGACCTCCCAGAGATCCGCCTGCTTCTGCCTTCTGAGTGCTGGGATTAAAGGCGTGCGCCACCACCACCCAGCAAAAATCAAAAACAAAAACAAAACAAAACAAAAAAACCTGATTGTTCTCCTCTCTCTCTCCTTCCCCAATCCAAAAGGGCCTGCAAAACTCTCTAAGGCCCTCGCTACTGCTTCCTGCATCTCTTTATCTCTTTCTATATCTTGGGTCATCCAAAACTTTTATTGATGTGGGAAGTCCTCCTGTATATGTGCTGCTTTTATTGGTTAATGAATAAAGAATCTGTCTTGGTCCTGGCAGGGCAAAACAGAGCTAGGCGGGGAAAACTATTTTTTTTTTTTGGTTTTTTGAGACAGGGTTTCTCTGTGGTTTTGGAGCCTGTCCTGGAACTAGCTCTTGTAGACCAGGCTGGTCTTAAACTCAGAGATCCGCCTGCCTCTGCCTCCCAAGTGCTGGGATTAAAGGCGTGCGCCACCACCGCCGGGCTAGGTGGGGAAAACTAAACTGAATGCTGAGAGAAAAAAGGCAGAGTCAGGGAGATGCCATGTAGCCACCACCAGGAACAGACATTCCAGAACCTTGCCAGTAAGCCACAGCCACGTGGCGATACACAGATTAATAGAAATGGGTTAAGTTAGCCGGGCGATGGTGGCGCACGCCTTTAATCCCAGCACTCGGGAGGCAGAGGTAGGCGGATCTCTGTGAGTTCGAGACCAGCCTGGTCTACAGAGCTAGTTCCAGGACAGGCTCCAAAGCCACAGAGAAACTTGTCTTGAAAAACAAAACAAAACAAACAAACAAAAAAATAATAAGAAAAATTATTAGGTACAATTACATTAAAAATGTCCAGTCCACTTGTGTTTGGCAATTTTGGAGAAAATGGTCTGTTATCTATTCTATCTTGGTGAGGTCAAAGTTTTATACCTAATTAACTTTTTATCATAGCTTGTATTTCCAACCTAGACCTTAAGACATATTCTTTCATAAACAATTGAAGCTTTATGTCTCTTCACCTTGATAAACTTTACATATCTTTTGTGGGTGTCTTTTCCAACTTTGGTAACAAGGAAAATTGTAACAATGAATATCTATTCTTCAATCTCACCAAAGATCCCAGAAGAATATAACATTGCCTGAGTAAATAGGAAATGCAGAACGAGTAATTTTCAAAACTTTAGAAATGACAGAGACAGCCGATTACCTGGACACATCCGTCTCCAACCTACAGGCCTAAAATATCTGACAGACTTTTCTGTGAAACAGGAATTTTTGAAGCACTTCCCCACCTTGTTTTGGTAAAGTTCAGCAGCCTTTTTCCTTTGTGTCCTGCTTATCCAGTTTGTACAGCATATTGTCAGCAGTCAAGGCAAGGGCACTTTCTTGCCCAGTAGCTAACTTTTCTACAAATGAAAGGAAGCTCTTTCATGCCTAGCATCCATTTTTGAAGTAAAATGGTGCTGCCAAGAACAGACATATCTGTCATGCAAAGCCTTATGTTATTAAAATAGTTTAAATACCATATTCTGTAGGTCTCTGAAGTACTTGAAGGCTACCTGTCTACCTAAAATATATCTGTTTGACTTGAAAACATACCTAACATGACTATAAATTAGATTGCTACAGATGACTAACTACTACCCTGCATTCAATTATCTTGAATAGTTTGTAATAATAGATTTCAAGTCCTAGAACTTTACATTACAGTTTCAAATGAGCTGCATAGGTGCAATATTTTAAACAAGAGTAAAAACGTATATACAGTATATTGTAATGAAAAACCCTTAAATTTGTATCAATATATAAAAATTCATACCAATATAAAACATTTGAGATTAATAGTTGCTGTTTAGTTTTAAAGTAGATTCAATAATATACACTTTTATCCAATCATTCCTATATCTCTCCCCCTTTTTAAATCTTATTTATTTATTTATTTATTTATTATGTATACAATATTCTGTCTGTATGCCTGAAGGCCAGAAGAGGGTGCCAGACCTCTTTACAGATGGTTGTGAGCCACCATGTGGTTACTGGGAATTGAACTCAGGACCTTTGGAAGAGCAGGCAATGCTCTTAACCACTGAGCCATCTTTCCAGCCCCCTTTTTAAATCTTCTTAGAAAGAGATTCTTCTTTTTTTATCTAATTAAATCTAATTAATTAATTAAGTTTTTGGATTTTCGAGACAGGGTTTCTCTGTAGCTTTGGAGCCTGTCCTGGAACTAGCTCTTGTAGACCAGGCTGGCCTCAAACTCACAGAGATCCGCCTGCCTCTGCCTCCCGAGTGCTGGGATTAAAGGCGTGCGCCACCACTGCCTGGCTTCTTTTCTTAAAAAATCTAACCTCTTTTGTTTAGTTTTCTCCCTGACCATGAACAATAACAACTTTTAACCAACCCCACAAATGATGTTAAACATCCATAATGCACCAACCAACCAAAACCCACCCGTCCAACCTCTTGGGAATGTGGGCATTGTGGTCTTAAAATTACTTCCCACTGTCTGGAGGCAACAGCACCTGTAGGGGACGCTGAGAAAATTGAGATAATGTTTATTCCTTAAAATAAAACCAAAGGACTATGAATTAGTAGCAACAGAATTGTTCCTTGTTCTTGGTTTTTCTCCTGTCTCACGCTAGGCGACTCTTCTGCCATGAGACGGAGACTGGATTTTCCTCTAACATGCAAGCTTGGGTTTAATGAAGAGGAGAACTACACTCCAACTCCAAAGTCAGCTTTAATTTTCAATAGAATTGGGACGACAAGAAGCCCACTTGTCTTACACATCTGAGGAGAATAGCAGAAGCAAACAGTTGGAAAGATTTATGGAAGTTTATCCTGTTGGAAATGTGATATCTCAACAGGCCAGTCTACTCTGTCATATACATTTTCTCTGGACGATTTGTCCTTTTCCTTCCGCTCTCCCATTTGTCCAGTAGTCTTCTTAGTTGGATGCTTTTATTCTCCTGGAAAGACAAAAACAAAACTCTGCCCCAACCCTATGTAGCGTGAATTCTAATTGGTCTTAAAAATAAAACCCAGAGGCCGGGCGGTGGTGGTGCACACCTTTAATCCCAGCATTCGGGAGGCAGAGGCAGGAGGATCTCTGTGAGTTCGAGACCAGCCTGGTCTACAAGAGCTAGTTCCAGGACAGGCTCCAAAAACCACAGAGAAACCCTGTCTCAAAAAACCAAAAATAAATAAATAAATAAATAAATAAAAATAAATAAAACCCAGAGTCAGACATTGGGGGTGAAAGCTGAAGGATCAGAGAAGCAGAGCAGCCAGTCACTAGTTGTCACCCCTGTGACCTCCTCAGATCGAATGGGGTATCCTGTCTCTCCTGCCCTATATTCCTCTCTCTGCCCAGCCATATCCCTTTCTGCTTCTACCTCCCTAGTGCTGGGATTAAAGGTGTGAGCCACCACCATCCAGCTGGTGCTCCTGCTTGTATGTTAATTGGATAAAATTGGTTTTCTGTCAGATGATGGTGGCGCACGCCTTTAATCCCAGCACTTGAGAAGCAGAGGCAGGTGGATCTCTGTGAGTTTGAGGCCAGCCTGGTCTGCAGAGTGGATTCCAGGATGGCAAGGGCTGTTACACAAAGAAATCCTGTCTTGAAAAAAAAAAAGCAAACAAAAATAATAATTGGGAGCTGGGAGGTTGAGGTGAGTTCAAGGCCAGCCTGGTCTACAAGAGCTAGTTCCAGGACAGGCTCCAGAGCTACAGAGAAACCCTGCCTTGGAAAAATAAATAAATAAATAAATAAATAAATAAATAAATAAAGTTGGCTGCTCTTCCAGAGAACCTGAGTTCACTTCCCAGGAACCACATGGCAGCTCATAACTGTCTGTTGCTCCAATTCCAGGAGATCTGACACCTTCACACCAATGCAGATAAAATAAAATTAAATAAATTATAAAAAAGAAACAACGTTGGTCTTCTAATAACCTTGGCCTGCTCCTCTCCAGTTTCATGCAATGGTTCTGCTCTGGAGTCCTCTGCGTGTGAAAATCTTTCTCCGTTTCGTCCGCAGTTCTTTCTAAGGCTTGTATCTTCTCAGCCAAGTTTTCATACTTGGTGCAAATATCAAACAACTTTTTTTAAATGTATAAAGTATTCAGACATGTACACCTGCAGGTCAGAAGAGGACACCAAATCTCAATATAGATGTTTGTGAGCCACCAAGTCATTGCTGGGAATCGAACTCAGAGCACACACACACACACACCAAACAAACAAACAAACAAACCTAATTCCCTCCTTGAGAATTCTCAGGTGTTGCTGGTAGTGACGGCACACGCCTTTAATCCCAGCACTCGGGAGGCAGAGGCAGGCGGATCTCTGTGAGTTCAAGGCCAGCCTGGTCTACAGAGCTAGTTCCAGGACAGGCTCCAAAGCCACAGAGAAACCCTGTCTGGCGACAGCAGAGCTGCACAGGAGGGTGGTGTAAGACAATCCTGAAGCCATTTTTGATAATTCTGAATCCTCTCAGCCTCTGTGCCATAGTGCTTCCCCTCCTCCCCTGGGAACCAAGGACCTAACAGCTACACTCGCACGTACTCATTTCCTGAACAATTACCCATATATGTATGCTTTGGTTCGGTCCCCTGGGAAACGGGGTCAAAATGACCTCTTACCTCATCTGATCTGGCAACAGCTCTCCAGTCAATTATTGGTAATAGCCCTTTCGAATAAGCCAATCAGAATAGTCAAAGAACAACCCCCCTTGCTTCTGTGGCCCCTTTAAAAGTAGACTATACCCGCTATTCGGGGTCCCTCGGCTTCCCGAATGCTGGGGGACCCTGTCATGACAGAATTAATAAAATCCTCATGCTTTTGCATCGGCTGTGGTGTGTGAGATGGTCTCTGGGGGCGACTCCTTCTCGGTGTTTGGACGCTAGAGTCCAACAGTGGGAGGGATGGAGGCAGCAGCAGCAGTTCTAGGTTGGGGGGGGTGACCAGTCAGGCAGGCAGGAGCGGGGGTCGCAGCTCGCTGCCGCTGCACTGCACAGGCCTGGCCTAGGGCACCTGTGCAGCTTGCCTGCAGGCAGGGATGAGGGTGTGTGGCCTAGGGGGAAGCGGTAGAAACCTGAGCAGGTGCTGGTGGGTGCAGCCCAGGGAGGGCAGTTCAGGGAAAGCTTGCAACCCGTGGTGAGAGAGAGCAAGCAGGGGAACAGGCGGGAGAAACCCACATGAGGGGAGGACACTGGGTCTGGGGTGGTAACTCCAGAGGCTACAAAGCAGACGGGAGGCAGGGGGACAGGCGGGAGAAACCCACGTGACCGGAGAGGTGGACACTGGTCGGGGTCTAACTCCAGAGGCTACTAAGCTGAAGGTGTGCAGCTTTCTTGTGATCTTCTCCTGTGTTGGGCACCAGATGAGTTTATCTAGAATTTTCAACCATTAATAAAAACTCGGGAGTCAAATATTGGGGTAAGAACCTGAATGATCCGAGACACTGCGGAGAAGTGACCAGAGACCTCCTGTTTCTCTCCTCTGATTCCAAAAGGCCCAGACCTTTACTAACCACCACTCATCTCTCCAGACCCTGCTTTTATTTCGATTTTTAATTATCATTTTTGTTTTGTTTTGTTTTTTTGAGACAGGGTTTCTCTGTAGCTTTGGAGCCTGTCTTGGAACTAACTCTTGTAGACAAGGCTGGCCTTGAACTCACAGAGATCAGCCCACCTCTGCTTCCCAAGTGCTGGGATTAAAGGGTGCACCACCACCGCCCAGCCTTATTTCTATTTTTAAAATGTGTTGGTGTTTGACCCACACATGTGTCTGTGTGAGGAGTTCAATCCTAGGGAGCTGGAGTTACAGCAATTAATTGTGAGCTGCAACGTGGGTGCTGGGAATCGAACCCAGGTCCTCTGCAGGAGTGGCCGGTGCTCTAGCCACTGACCCATCTCTGTCCCTAACAGCAATGTTCTCCTTTCTCTCTCTTTTTCTTTGTTTGTTTCGAGACAGGGTTTCTCTGTGTAGCCCTGGCCTGGCTGTCCTGGAACTCACAGAGATCTCTGCTGCCCAAGCGCTGGGATTAAAGGGTTTCTCTGCCTGGCTATTCTTTTTTTTTTTTTTTTTTTTTTTTTTTTTTAACATTAAAAAAAAAATCCTTTATTTACAGTTCAAAATTTAAACAAGATCTTGATTCTGATTTGTGAGACTTCCAGGTCCTGGTTCACACACTGTGGAGGCAGAGGTCAGTCCAGCTTGTCAGACTCAAGGGGAGTGTCATCCAACACTGAAGACCTGGTTCAGTCTTGGTCTAGATTACATTTCCCCACACTGGGAGATTACCACTGGCAGTTTGGGCTTATTGTTAGGGCCCGTGGGAACATTCTCGATTTTTCTCATCACCAGAAGTCCATCAATGATTTTTCCAAACACTACGTGCTTCCCATCCAGCCAATCACACTTAGAACATGTGATAAAGAACTGGCAGCCGTTTGTACTGGGACCACTGTTTGCCATGGAAAGCAGGCCTGGAGCCGAGTGTCTAAGTTTAAAATTTTCGTCTGCAAATGGACCGCGGTAAATGCTAGCGACTCCAGTACCATCTCCATTAACAAAATCTCCACCCTGAATCATGAAATCCTTTATGACCCTATGGAAGGTGCTTCCTTTGTATCCGATCGGAACACCATCTTTCCTGAACTCTCCAGTGCAGAATTGCCTAAAGTTCTCTGCCGTCTTAGGCACCACGTCTGCAAACAGCTCGATCTTCATGCGACCAACTTCCTGGCCGCCAATGCTGACATCAAAGAAGACCACCGGATTGACTGGACTTGAATTTGCCACCGCCATGGCCCCGACCCCTTTTTTTTGTTTTTCGAGACAGGGTTTCTCTGTGGCTTTGGAGCCTGTCCTGGAACTAGCTCTGTAGACCAGGCTGGTCTCGAACTCACAGAGATCCGCCTGCCTCTGCCTCCCGAGTGCTGGGATTAAAGGCGTGCGCCACCATCGCCCGGCTTGGCTATTCTTTTTTTTAAAAAAATATTTATTTATTATGTATACAATATTCTGTCTGTGTGTATGCCCGCAGGCCAGAAGAGGGCACCAGACCCCGTTACAGATGGTTGTGAGCCACCATGTGGTTGCTGGGAATTGAACTCAGGACCTTTGGAAGAGCAGGCAATGCTCTTAACCTCTGAGCCATCTCTCCAGCCCCTGGCTATTCATATTTTTAAATAAAATATTATAAATATAAAGACTATACTTTCAGGGTTCGTTTCTGTAGTTCATTAATATAAATACTTAAAAAAAATAAAAAAGGAAGCAGTATCTGCTGGAAAAGAGCTCCCATGCTAAGACCGGCCAGCTCAGTACGGCCCTACAGGACTCATTCCCTGCCTGTGTATGCTGTCCTGGCCCAACCCTGGGCAGTGGCAGGGGTTGGGCATTATCGCTGAGCAGCAGCTGTGGTGGAGACCGTGGCCACAAGAGCTTTCTGGCAGGCTTCGGCCGTGCTGAGTCAGGCCCGCTGGAGCACTGAGATGGGGAGCCCCACGTTGTTTGTGAGTCTAGCCTTTAACAGCTAAACCATCTGTCCGGCCTTCCTGCCCCTGTTAAAACTTGTTAGTTATTGATGTTTGTTGTTGTTGTAATTGTTTAGCAGTAAAAGGCGACTTTGGCAGGTTGGAGCCAAGGGACTGCTACAAAACCACACCATGTAACTGAGCTCATGAGGGAGGTTCATTGGGGGGTGCAGAGACCGTCTCTGAGGGAGAGCAGAGGGGGGAGAAGGGCTTGCTTGTTCTACCGGGATGTTGCACGCACACGTGCATAGGAAGAACTCCTCCTGGGGGCTGTGGAAGCTACAGTGTTGCCGACTGCAGCTGCTGAGGGCCCCGCTAGGTCCCTGAGAGCAGGCGGCATAAATGCCTGAATGCTAACAGCTGCTGTTATTTGAGTCAGGGTTTCTCTGTGTAGCCCTGGCTGTCCTGGAACTCCCTATGTATCCCAGGCTGGCCTCGAACTCACAGAGATCTGCCTGTCTCTGCCTCCTGAGTGCTGGAACTAAAGGCTGTGCCATTATGAACCGCCTCTTGTCTTGGTTGTTTTCAGACAGTTCCACACTGTAGCCCAGGCTAAACTCTAACACCAATCCTCCTAGCCGGGCGATGGTGGTGCACTCGGGAGGCAGAGGCAGGCGGATCTCTGTGAGTTCGAGACCAGCCTGGTCTACAGAGCTAGTTCCAGGACAGGCTCCAAAGCCACAGAGAAACCCTGTCTCAAAAAACCAAAAAAAAACAAAACAAAAAAAAAAAAAAAACACCAATCCTCCTGTCTCAGCTCCCTGAGTACTGGAGTGACAGTTGTGTGCTATCATGCTTGCTTATTCTTAAATTCACTTAACAATTTAAATGTCATTTTATTCGTCCTGTGTGTGCTTGTCGGGGAGTGGAGGATGGGGGAGTGGGGGATTGGGGGAGTGGGGGATTGGGGGAGTGGGGGATTGGGGGAGTGGGGGAATGGAGGATTGGGGGATCGGGGGATTGGGGAATCGGGGGATTGGGGGATGGGGGATTGGGGGATGGGGGAGTGGGGGATCGGGGGAGGGGGGATTGGGGGATGGGGGAGTGGGGGATCGGGGGAGTGGGGGATTGGCGGGTTGGGGGAGTGGGGGATTGGGGGAGTGGGGGATTGGCACCCTTGGAGGGTCAAAGGACCACTTTGGAAGTCAGTTTTCTCCTTCTACCCTGGCAGCAAGCCTCTATGCTTCTGACCCTTGTCCTTTGCGTCCGGAGTCCTGCTTGTTGACACACGGACACAGAGACTCTCAGCTCAGCAGTCTACATACTGAACACCAGGTCCCAAAGGTTCCTCCGCAGCCGGGCATTGTGGATCCTTTGGGGGGCTGAGGCAGAAAGATCTTCAAGCCAACCTGGACACAAGAGCAAGTCCCGTTCAAAACACAAACTACAGGCAGAAAAGATGGCTCAGTGGATACGGTGCTCTCGCTAGAGTTTAGCCCCAGGGCCCACCAGATGTAAGAACTGAACCTCTCACCCAAGCTCGCCTCTGACCGCCCACAGGTGTGTGCCGTGGGTGCATGGTCACAGGTGGAGCCCCACCAGGAAGGTCCAATCCCAGCAGAGAATAAACTCAGAATTTTAAATCTCTTACTACTTGGGAGGCTGTGACAGAAGTTTAGTAATTTAAGGCCATTCTCGGCTACTTAGTGAGTTTGAGGGACACTCCCCCACACTTGAGACTCTGTATCAAAAAAAATTTAATAAATAGCAAAGTGGGTAGAAGCCAGTCTGGCACACCAGCAGCTCGGGATTCCCTCCACAGCAATGACCAAAATCAGGGGGTCAGAATACACAACCGTGTAAAATGGCTCACACCCCAAGCTGTGATCTGAGCTAGAGGATCAAGATTTCAGCTGATGCTTGGTGCTTCAGAGTGCTAACTCTTCTTTCTTTTTCTCTTTCTTTCTTTCTTTCTTTTTCGTATTGTTTGGTTTGTTTTTTAGAGACAGGGCTTTTCTGTGTAGCCCTGGCTGTCCTGGAACTCATCTTGTAGACCAGGATGGGCTGAAACTGTGCCTGGGGTTCAGTTTCAGCACCCACATAGCTTTCCACAAACATCTGTAAACACAATTCTGGGGGATCTGCCGCCCTCTTCTGACCTCCCAGGCCCAGTCAGACTCCTGTTTGGTCCCAGCCAGCTAGGTATGTTACATTGGCACACGCTCCTCTTTTGGGGGCTGGCAAGATGGCTTCGTGGGTAAAGGTGCTTTCAGGCCACGGTGGCAACCTGAATTTGATCTCAGGGACCCACATAGTGGATGGACAGACTGATCGCTGATTGCCCACTGACCTCTGCACATGGACACACACAGTACAGACAACAAAGACATAAAATGTAATAGAATAAGGAACCCAAATGAGTGGGTCGATGGTCAGGTCAAGGGGTCGAAGGTCCGGTGCATGATCCCGGATCCAAGCAGGCCGAGGAGCAGGAGCATGGCTTCGTCTGGTTGCTGCTGCAGCTGTGGCTGGTGCTGTTGATGCTGATGGTGCGGCGCGGACAGTGTCAACCACATCAGTGTCACCGGGAACCAGCGCATCCCACAGTACTGTGGCTCCTGCTGGGCCGACAGTAGCAGCAGTGCCACGGCAGACCCATCAACATCAAGAAGAAAGGCTAGGCATGTGTGTTGTAGTATGAGCGGCGGGCTGCGTCCCCGGCACCTGGCCGCCCCCACGGCTAGCTTTACCCTAAATAATTACATGGACACCGTATTCTTTTAATCACCACTTGGCCCATTTCTATCTAGCCTCTTCTAAGCTAGCTCTCGCACCTGGACTAGCCCATTTTTAATAATCTGCTGTAGCCCACGAGCTGGCTTACCAGGAATGATCTTAACCTGCATCTGCCTGGAGTGGAAGAATCATGGCGACTCCTGATTCAGCTTCTTTCTCCCAGCATTCTGTCCTGTTTACTCCTCCCACCTATGTTTTAACCTATGAGGGCCAAGCAGTTTCTTTATTGCTCAACCAATGAAATTAACAGATTGATATATGACACTCCCACATCACATGTGGCCCTCCCTCTGCTTTCAGTGCAGGACTTCATCAACTGTGGCAATGACCTTCCAGTGTGCGACCCGCATATGCCCGTAAGCATGGCATCCCCGATGAGACCTGCAACAACAGTGTGGGATCTGCACCGAATTCAGAGTGCCATCCCACCCAGAATTACACCCTCTGGAGAGTGGGTGACTATGGCTCCCTATCAGGTGGGAGAAGATGACAGCAGAGACCTACACCAACGGTCCCATCGGCTGCGGGATAATGGCAACGGAGAAGACGGTGAACTACACTGGCGGCATCTACGCTGAGCAGCACCAGGACCAGACATCATCATTTCCGTGACTGACGTAATTCATGGGGCGAACCCTGGGGTGAGAGGGGCTGGATGAGGATCCTAACCAGCGCCAACTGGGGAGGCGCAGGTGGCAGCTACAGCCTGGCCATCGAGGAGGCCTGCACATACGGGGACCCCGTTGTTTAAGTAGCCGTCTCTGGAGGCAACTTTGGAAACCATGGCAGGGTTGGGTGATTATTAGCACCGTTCGGGTCACTATATTCACTAAGTTCACTAGCACTGGACAGCCAGAAACGGTGCTTGCGGCCATCCCGAGAACAGAGCCCTGCCTTCAGCCCACTGGAGAAGACAGCTATGGTCTAGAACAGTTCTGATGTCACCCTGGAATCCTAGGGAGGGGAGGACAATCCCAGATTGCCTAAGCGGTGAATAAAGGCTCTAGTTTCACCAAAAAAAAGAAAAAGAAAGAAAAAAGAAACCTAAATGAGTATCGCAGAAGTTAGTTAAGGCTTCCGTGCTACTTGTGGGGGGTGGGAGCCTCTGCTAAAATTGGCATCAGAAAAGAGGAAGCATTTACCAGAAATTGGGTTGGTTTCTCCTGCAGGATTTGTTTTTCATAATCACAGTGCCTCAACTTGTAAGTACAAAATGGGCAGAATCCTGTGGCCTGAGTTTTTCTTCTGTGACCGGGAGAGTCTGTATTAGAGCTCAAGAGGGCCACTGCTGTGGGTTTATTCTTCTAGAGTACTGGGTAGGGAACCCAGGGTCAGGAGATTCTAGGCGGGGCTCCACCCTGACCACGCCCCCAGCCCCTCACTGGGGATTCTGGGCATGGCTCCGCCCCTGAACCTGCCACAGAGGAGTCTGAAGAAAACCTGTTACCTTCTGACTGAAGCCGTCACTCAGGAGTACACTTCTGTATATGAGACCCTTTGTTCAACCCCAGCACACGGCATCACAGAACTGTGCAAGGAAGTGTGGTCTAAGCTTCTTCATGTGTGAGTTTATGTTCACTATGCGGGTGCAGGTGCTCTTAGAAGGTCACTGTTGTGGATGCTGGTAACTGATCCTGCATCCTCTGCAAGACCAGTAACTGCTCAACCGCTGAGCCGTTTCTCCGGCCACAGGAAAGTGCACGTTTGTTTGGTCAGTGTGAAAGGCAGCCCCACAGGAAGAACGGACTGTTACTGACTTGGCACGGGGTGGAGGGAGTCTTTGGCTTGGTGAGGACGAGGTTTGGACTCCATCCAAAGCTGTCCCCACTGACCAGCAGAGACCACTGACTTTCCTTCCCACAGCTACGCATTCCAAACATGAACCTCATTCTGATTTTAACCCGGAAGTGAAATATGGCTGTTTAAGTCAAGGTACTGTTCAAATAGGCTATATTTGACCAAGTTTAGTCTCAAAAGACACAGTAGTAGGCTAACCTGGTCTACTGAATAAACTCCAGGACAGCTGGGGCTACACAGAGAAATCCTGTCTTGAAAAATAAAAATAATAAATAAATGTTTTGTCTGCATGCATGTCTGGGCACCATGTGGGTACAGGTGCCCACAAAGGTCAGAATGGGGGTCA